GTTTTCATTATATTCATATACTTCATAATATATATGTCATTCTATTTTCTAGTTTATGATGAAATTATATATATTTTGAGTATAAACAGACACTTATTTACACAAAATACAATAAATTTACTTAAATCCGCATAGTCCACCTAGTCTGCCTAGGTGCTAGGCCCCAGCTTGCCGCCCGACTAGTGTCTAGCGTCTTTTAGAACTTTGTGGTTAAAGTCTCATGGATTCAACGGTTAAAGTGAAGAAATGCAAAAAGCATACAAGCAATTTATATTTTTTTTTTCCCTAAAATTAAAATATTGTATTTTTTTCAATTAAAGTAAGGCAACTGACATTTAAATATGAATCCAAATTTTCCAAACATTTAAATATGAATCTATTTAATCAATGGTCATTGGTCATCATGAATAGCTTTCTATCCATTGGACATTTAAAATCGTATTAAGTTGTTCCAAACATATAATACTAGTTTTCCGTGACAAACCCAAACCCAAAAAAAATTATATTCTAAATTTTTTTAAACAAACGATGTTATTTATACTAAGGAATTAGGGGAGTAGGCTCAACCTCATAATGAGCTGACAATAATATGGTTCAAATTCGTCTTTAGCGAGAATCCAATCTAAGACCTCTCGCTTACAAGTGAAAAGGAATATCACCAAATCGTAGTGCTAAGTAGCAAATCATATTCTAAAATTTGATAGGAGTATTGATGTCGTGCATTTTATTTGTAAATTTATGTTCCGTAATGGTAATTAGGTCGTGTATAATTAAAATCTTAGATGGTTCTAGGTCGCATATTTTTATGAGGGTATTGCTCTAGTTTTTAAGAAGATATGGATAGTTCTTGATTGTCTAAAATCTTAGATTGAAACTTTAGAATAGTTTGATTGAAGACAAAATGTTAAATTTCAGTAAAAAGAAGTTTAATAACAAAAATTATTAAATAATTCCTAAATCATGCAAAGAGTAATACCAACTAGGGATTTTTAATTTTTTTTCCCCTCAAATTTGAATTGCGTGAAATTTGATCTGATTATTTGTTTCTTCGAGATAAAATGTTTTATTTTTAGATATTGGTAAGTTTTAAACTAAAAAGGTATTTTTTTTTTATAAAATGGTGGGGTACTTAAAAATAAAATAAAAAGTGAATAAGTTTACATTGACAAAATATGTACATTTTGCATAAAAATTGGTACATTTTACATACATATATATATATATATATATATATATATATATATACAACAAAGTTTTCATTTTCTTTATAAAAATAGGTACATTATAAATAAATTATGCATACAAATAAAAGATTAAAAAAATTACAGGTAAAAATAAAAGTTTAAAAATGTGGGCATACAAAAATTTAAATAAATAAGTACAAATTAAAAAAAATAGTACGTATTAGAAAAATGCTTATAAATTAAAAAAGAATGGGTATAAATTAAAAATAGAAAGTATGATAAAAAAATCAGTAAAAAATATAAATAGATCATTTGTAACGTTTCTAACTGGATCTATTTAAAAATAATTAAATAATGACACACCCCGTCCCAAAGGAGGGCATGCTGGCTGTCACATGAGAGTGACGTAACCATTTACACAGTTCAGAAGCTTTAAAGATACCATTACTAAGATATAACACCCGAAGGTGAATCCTACTTTTGTGAATTCTGTCAAAACACCGTTGGATTCCTCGTGGCCACCCAAAGCTCTGCTATCTTGAACCTGGAAGGGCGCAAAACAAAGTTGAGTGGGTTAGTAAAACAAAGTTTTTCGAAAACATTTCATTTAAAACATTTCTAACCCCTTGCTGTAAAACTTGTATACTTTCCCAGAAAATAGTATATAAATAACCATATATAATCTCAAAACTCAAATCACAAGTCTTTAACACTTTTTGAGAAAATATGCCATGCTATGCATCAAAACATAATAAAGATGCATCAATATAACAGGTGAAATAAGGAATCAACCGGAGACCCTACAATTGGTCATGTACGGTTAATTCTATAGCTCAATATCCAAACCAACCGGAGTCACCACGGTGACCTGTACGGCGCTACTCTGCACATAAATCGGAACTACCTGAAGTAGTCTGTACGATAAGAATGGTGTAATAATACGCTCTAGTGGTTCTCTCATCAACAGCTGTATAATAATCTAAAATCACCTACAGTCGGAACCACTCTATGGTCTGTACGACATGTCGGAACCCTCTCATGGTCTGTACGACATGCACCTACTTGGATCCAAGGTGAGCGTGCGGTGCGGGGTGAATAATATAAGCACTAACACCAGAGGTGCAGGTTATGAGCTCTCAACACAATTCACATTATCAATGATTCACATGAATAACATAAAACTCACCTGATACTCACCTGTGCGTCCACAACACCAATTCACACACACACACACACACACACACACACACACACACACACACACACACACACACACACACACACACACACACATATATATGCATCAATTATCAATTCATATATTTCATAATATGCATGCATGACATTTTAAAACATACTTTCATTTAAATTCAATTTCTGGGAAAATCGATAGTATATAGGTAAATACAGAAAATACTGCCCACTCACCTGGAGTTCGCCCTACAACTCCCTAACACAACACATCAAGGCGTCATAACGATCGGCGCCTAGAACAATCATCAAATCAAACCTCAGAATCATATCGATAGAATATATAACTTATATAAAACACGTCACTACGTTGTTCGATCCGGAAGATCTGCAACTCAGATTTCCAATCCATAACTTCCAGAGGTCCACAATATATCTCTAGAACAACATCCTAAAATTTCCTTACCATCCAACGGTCGGATCTCCGTCAATTGTCAAAACCGAATGATAGTTAACATTCTATTTTATGTACTTACAACTCCAATTCCAGAAGATCCGTAAATCGGATTCCCAATCCATAAGTTTCTATAATCCTCAAATATTACGTATTACAACGTATCAAAGTTTAGTGACGATCTGACGGTTGGATCGTCGATTCACGTTACTTTCGGTTGGCCTAACCATGAATCGAAACGAACTTAGGTTCAATTACTCAATTTACGTCAATCAATTATCAAAACTGAACCTAGAATCTTAAACACATGCTAAGAATGACATTGGCGGGCCACTGGCCACGCGCCGCTGCACGGGCCGCCACAGGTGGCGGTTGGTCACCCCGGCTTGCCGGAAAATCCAACTATTTCCAAAAATTCTCAAATATTACAGAAATGAAGATCTCAAAGAGTAGAGCAAACTTTATACCTCTGGCCAAGGCCAATTTGTCCTAGAAATTCTCCAATTCCACCAAAACCGTGAAGAACCCTAGAATTGGGTGTTTTCAATTCGACCTTCAAATCAACTCCGCCGTCCCAACCAAAGCTTGGGCTTTGTGCCAGGTCCTAAGGGAATGCTAATGGTGTTAGTAATTGAAAGAAAACATTTCAAGATTTGAAGAATTTGAACACGAAAGTCGCGGCACCAACGAGTGCGTTTTAATCACCAACCCACCATCAAATTTCACTGATTTTTTTGGGTGAAACATGAAAGGGGAAGGCCTAGGTGTTGATTGGGAAGTGCATAGGGGCCTAGTGCCTATTGAGTTCCTTGATGGTCCAATTCGTCGAAAAATTGAACAAAAACGGCGAGAAACCGCCGGTTTGAAGGCATGGGTCGCACGGGTCAAGGATGACCCGTTTCCTCCTTTTCCCCCGTTCATCACTCTCCCTCCTTTCCCTCCTTTCTTCTCCCTCTGATTGGTCCTCTCACACTTTCTCTTCTTTTCTGGTTGGCCCCCAACTCGTCCCTCTCTCCTGTTCCGATTGGGGCAGCTTTGCCCTTCTCTCCTCTTTTTTTTTTTTTTTTTTTTTTTTTTTTTTTTTTTTCTTTTCTTTTCCCCGATGCCTTCCTCTTTCTTTCTTTTCTTCTTCTTTTTCTTCACATACACACACACACACAAACCTTTCAACATCTTTTTATTTTTATTTTCCTTCCCTTACATCCAAGCCATCCATTTCAGATTTCCTTTAATCTGGGCCATCCAAATTTTAATAAAAATTCATAAATTGCCCAAACTTCAAACTTTAAAATCTTTTTTCGTTTATAACTCCAAATAACGAACTGTCTGCGCCCACGCTTCTGTAGTGACGAGTACTACGATGATATGTCAAGAAAACAAATCTTAGTTGGCACGACACAATGATTAACCTCGAATAATGTGCGTGCCTCAAAGGGCATTTTCGTAAAATTCTTTATTAAAACTTTAAAAACTCTTAAAATCGGGGACGGGCTGTCACAATTAAGTTTTAGTTATAAAATTTAAATATGCTGACATGTAAATATTTTTTTATTAAAATAATAATGTGAATAAAAACTAAATGATCTTGATAAAAAATTAAAAAAATTAGACCATCTCCAAAGAAAATTCAAATTTTGAATATAAAATTTAAATTTTGACAACTTATTGGCACTTTGATATTTTTAAAGTTTTGTTCTCCAACCAATAGTCAAATTAAATTATTATTTTATTATTTTATAAAATAAATTATTAAACTAATTAAAATTTAATAAAGAATATTTAAAGTTTAATCAGTAATCTGTTCACCTTTCTTGATTGAAAAGAAGAAAAAAGTAGGATAATTGCATCGGTCAACTCAATATTAATTATAATAAATAATTAAACTAATTAAAAATTAATAAAATAAAGAAATTATAGTCCATAAAGGCAGTCAGTCATCAGTCGTATCTCTCTCTCGTGTGTCGCCTACAAATTGAATATTCCCTCGCAATATCCACCCTTCCTCCGCCCTTTCCTCCCTCATTTTACTCTCACTGTAACACGAACATCATCCCAACAACCCCACTTTCGCACGCGCCGCGTGGAGTATCTGATCCGTTCGTAAATTAATCTCTGCAGTAGGATCCACCTCACACGACGCGCCATTCGCGTATCTATATATAGTCGCATACAGACGCTCATTCTATTTGTACAAAGAGAAACAGCTTGGTGTAAGACAGGGACAAGCGAACCAATTGTTCCTCACTCCAATCTATCTATATCTATCCATCCCTCTTCCGGATACGGATTTGGATTTTCGTTTCTGGACGAAGGTTGAGAATTTGAAGCGCGGGAATTGATTCCTGAATTGGGGTTCTTTCGGATTTTGATTTGGTGCGGAAATGAGGCTGAACGGCGAGGTTCTTTCGTGCAACGGCGGGAGAGCAGCAGAGGAGGAGAGTGGAGAAAACGAGAGAGAATTGCATTCGATCGTCAGCGTTGGGATTTCTCAGCCGCCGAAGCTCGTCGTCGGGTACGCCTTGACCTCCAAAAAGAAGAAGAGCTTCTTGCAGCCCAAATTCGTTGGGTTGGCTCGGTATGTTGTATAATACCCACAAATCTTTTCACCATTTGCACACACACACACACACATTCTTATTATGTACACACACACACACACACACACACACATATATATATATATATAATATGCATGTATATATTTGTATGTATGTGAAATTTTGAAATTTTGAAGCTTTGTGAGTTTTTATTTTGTAGTTTCCTTATATGGGTATCTCTTGTTTTCTAGTTTCAGTTTGTATATCTTGACTTTATGAGCATAAAAGAAGAAACAAAGGAAAAAGAAAGTGCCATTTTTTTGTTGTTGCAGGGGGATATGGATGTTTTTGTCTATATTGTTTTAAGCTTTGGCAATATTGATCAAGGGCAAAGTGTGTTTTGCTTGGCTTTTCCATCCAATCTTCTTCTGTAGTGGGTATCTGGAATCTTGCTGTTTGGTGTCTTTCACTGAGACAAATTTTAAATAGGGGAATATTCCATCACATATACCCTTTTGGGGTTGAGAGGAACCCGAAGTCAATTCTTGGTGCTTGCTTCTGTTTTCCAAAATTCATAAAAACAGCAACGATTTTCCCACTTCTGTCCTACTTTGAGTACTTATTTACAATCTTGTCCTTCATCCTCTATGTAATTGCATAGATGAATTTGGACTAAGTGGGGTGGACTATTTACCCCTTCTTTTAGGTGCCTTTACATTAGTGGTTGAATGATTTGAATGAAGCTTTAGCTAAACCTGCAATTTGTATGATTGATGGCATTAGGTTAAGATGACATGAGGTTATTTCTTTCGAATATGATCGATGTAAATAAAAAATAAAACAGTTACAGGGGTACAATATATATTTGGAAAATACTGTAATTACTATCAATAAAAGTAGGGTTTTTTTATTTTTATTTACTACTTACCTGTTTGTGTGTCAGATGAGATGGACATTAAACAGGTTTGTCATTGCAGATTGTTAATTGTGCTCGAAAGCCAGACTCTTGACGAGTCGGCAGCCATAATTGTATTTTTTCAAACCTTGTATAAAGTATAGGATTGCAAAAAAAAAAGTATTACCTACATTCTTCGGGTACGTATTAAATTATTTTGAAGAGTTTGAGTTTTTACTCATAATTGTGGCATCATAGTTGAATGAATTTTCTTGATGCCTCCTGCCCTTTCACATCTTTTAAATGGCTCTTCCGTTTGTTGGGTTTAGTTATTTTGTCATTATTATAATGTTTACACCGCTAAACCCAAGCTTTAAAACTGGAGCAACTGTTTGGACACTCGATTTAGTAAAACGTTTCTGGGGTGCAGGAATAAGGGGATTTTCTTCATTGCAATTGATGTAAACAAGCCACTTTCAGATCAAGGACCCTTTGATGTTGTTTTGCATAAGGTAAGTGCTCATATGTTCTTTTAGACCCTTTTGTTCTCACTTGTGACAGTTTTTCCTATTTTAAAAGCTTTTGTTTCTAATTAAAGGCTGCCTCGGGTTGTATGATTTGAATCACTGATCATGCCATTCAATATCCCCTCCCCTTTTGTTTTACTAATTAGTTTGTTCATTGTAGATTGACAAGTATATCGCATATACCATATTAAATACATATATATATATATATATATATATATATATATATATATATATATATATATATCTGACAAAACTTTGTTCCTTCCAGTTGTCGGGAAAAGAGTGGTCCGAGGTTATTGAGGTTTGTCCATACAAACTTCAAGATGCTTTCTTGACTTTCTTCCCCTTTTCTTGTATTGGAAATGAATTTGTGGTGCTGCATTTTTTGCTGTAAGTACTTATGCATGATATAAAGGGTTGCTTTGTGTTATGCTGGAGTATTAAGTCTGTGAGATGGTTTAAAAAGATGTTATGAATCCAGTGAGTTGGAGACTAGAAGCTCCATTGTCAATTAAAATGCAGGTTTTGAATAGAATTTGTAGATCCTCGGGACCAAGTACAACATACCAATACCTTAGTTTTCTTTTGGTCTATCCTTGATTTATGAAAAGTCAATCTCATCTTCCCCATTGATTAAACCCCCTGGGCAAAGTCCTGGGAATTTAATCGTCTGTCACTTATGTTTACTCAACATGGTTTCATGGTTTGGTAACTGAAGTGCAGTTTATTTATTGAGTATTGTTGTGTCCTTACTTTCCCCATCTGTCCTTCTGTAGGATTACAGACAAAAACATCCAGAAGTAACAGTTCTTGATCCCCCAAATTCAGTAAAAAATCTATACAACCGCCAGTCCATGCTTCAGGAAGTGGCTGATCTGAACTTGTCTGACTGCCATGGTATTTTTTCCTCCTTTACTCTTTATGAAAACTGTGGATAGTATACAGGAAAAGTTGTGGTTAGAGTTTCTAACCAGTTTTCGTTTTGGTTTCTATAGGCAAGGTTGGTGTTCCAAAGCAGTTGATTGTCACTAAAGATCCATCATCTATTCCGAATGAAGTTGATAAAGCTGGGCTAAAATTGCCGCTGGGTACAGTTACTTTATCTTTCTTTTTGTGTGTGTTTTCAGGAGCACTGGTTTTTCTTTTAGTGTTAGGACACTGTTTCCTCCTCTGAATGAAACGGATTATGACATCTACATACCCACGTGATTGGTGGCACAAGGATTCTTGATATGGCCTGGAGATCCTCTGGATTTCCATGGCTAAGGTTATCTTGGTAGAATGTTATGTATAGCCATACTGATTGGCCGGAAGCAGGCTTCTTTGAACAATTTGGTAGGGGAGCTTTGTTGTCAGCTATTGTAGACTGATGAATCGTGACTTCTATACTTCAACTATTGACCTCTGTTTATTTTGTATTTAGTTGTCAAACCGCTGCTTGTGGATGGTAGTGCGAAGTCACATGAACTATTTCTTGCTTACGACCAATGCTCCCTCTCAGAACTCGAACCTCCCTTAGTCTTGCAGGAGTTTGTAAATCATGGTATAATGTGGTAACTGGTACTTGATACTATTTCTTTGTTCAACCACGTTGTGGTTCTAATTATACTTTTTCTGCCTCCTGTTTGCCGCATTGTAGGTGGTGTTCTCTTTAAAGTTTATATCGTCGGGGAAGCCATAAAGGTGGTAAGGCGTTTCTCTCTTCCCAATATCACTAAACGTGAACTAGAAAAGCTTGCTGGTGTGTTCCGTTTCCCAAGGGTTTCATGTAGCTTCAGCAGATGATGCAGACCTGGACCCTGGTGTTGCTGGTAACATCCGTTAACAATGTTTAATATACTGGTTGTTATGAATAAAGCTTTGTCCCTACTTTCTTCAAACTTTTATGACTTTTCGTGCTGTTTGTAAATGCTGTTTCAATGACAGCTTACTAAAACTACCTTATTGTTCCTTGGACCCCTGATTTAAAATGGCATTATTGCTGCAGAACTTCCTCAACGACCTTTGTTAGAGAACCTTGCGAGGGAGCTCCGCCAACGACTGGTATCTCTCTCTCTCTCTCTCTCTCTCTCTCTCTCTCTCTCTCTCTCTCTCAAGTTTGGCTAATACTATGCTATTGCTCTAGGGCCTTAGGCTATTCAATGTCGATATGATCCGAGAGCATGGGACAAAGGATGTTTTTTATGTCATTGACATCAACTACTTTCCAGGTAAGTACAGTTTGTTCACTTAATCTACTCTATGTTGACAACTGCAAAGTTTCCGTGGTGTGTATTGAAATGTTTTGAACGAATTACAGGTTACGGCAAAATGCCAGACTACGAGCACATGTTTACAGATTTCCTACTAGGCCTTGTGCAAAGCAAGCATAAGAGAATACCCGCTACGTAACCACTGCAAGTACCCACTGTATATGATGTTTCTTGCAGGCAGATGCACGCCTCCTCGGAGTCGGGCATTTCTCGTAAAGGGTCCGACCTGTTGAGTGGTGACACCGCCGCCTCTGACGGAACTGTGTTATAAAGCAAATTCAATAACAGACGACTAAGAGAAGCTACGTCGTCATCTCTTTCCCACTCCCACTTCTCTGTCTCTAGGTTAAGTTTTTGGCTCAATCTTTACATGAATTTTGATAGAAACTGCTCCCGAGTATATTTTGCTTGTACTTTTTTTGTATGTTAGTCGGAATATCTCAGATCATCTAAAAGTTGTTCAAACCGGACACCACCTGAGAGAGTGCCATTATCCTGGACTCTAGAGTCTAAGAAAATCATGGTCACCCACCGTTTTATTTTAACCAACAGTGGAGGCGAAAGTATTACGTACACAAACTACATAGGAAGAGATTTATTTCGCGTATAGCTTCCACCTACTTTATACAATACCATTGGTTGGCATGGCACATATTCTACAAGAATACAAAGCATACTCCTTACAACGCTGTGGCCCACAAATACGTACAAACAATATATACATATACACATTATGTACAGTCCGCCGCTGCTTACCAAAACGGACACCACCTGAAAGAAGCACAATAAGCACAACAGCCGTTGTTAGACAAACGCACATTCTAACTCGGTATACAGAACAGATAAAAAAACTCAGCATGACTTGTTCCCGCTCCATAATAATATAGCCATTCACCCGACAATTACTTGGCGAGGTGAACAATATAAGAATGTCGGTATTAAGTGGCTCTGATCCCACCAAACTGGTGTGTGTCGGATGAGAATTTGGGCACTGAGATCCCGAACAAAACCAATCATAGGTTGTCACGAATCAATAGACTTCATATGTCAAACCTCCACTCATGTCGGGCAAGGACCGAATGAGTACACATGCACACGAGTTTAATTATTCTAAACTAGGTTTAAAGAAACTGGAGATAGAAGAGGAAAATTTTCAAACATCTTACCCGACATAATTTTGGCATAAATTTTCACTAGATGATGCTTGGATAATCAACTTTTGAACTTGCTGCTTAACAGATAAACCATGGTCAACTTCTCTACTGTCTCCAGAAATCAGCGTGCTGTGGTCAATTGCATGTTGAATAGAGCTGGAAGATACAGAGGAACTGGCAGAAAAATCACGTCCAGTAAGTTTACTCTTCATCCGAGCCATGACAACCACAGCAAGCTCATTCAAGACCTCATTAGCATCACCCAATTGATTGACAGCCTACATGGAAAACCAAATAAATGAGCATAACCAAGAACATCATTTTGAAGCATCTTAGGATGAATTTCTGGAATACCTCAAGAAGTTCCCTTTCACGAGCACCTCGTTGAGGTTGGCGAAGCTCTCTATTTTGAGCGGGTTCTTCAGCACCCGCAACAGGAGTAACATTACTATTTCCAAGCATTGACATTTGGGGAACTTCATTGAAGTTGAAGAGACGCCAATTAATGAGAGGATCATGGACAAAGGCCTGAACACAGGTAAACTTAAGAATTAGCTTCCTTACTCAAGGATTTAAAGGAGAATGAATTTAGTGTTGTTCATTCAATAGGGCACCATCAACAGTATCAACAAAACCACACCCACCCACAAGTCCACCCCATTACTTTGAAATTTTAGATGACTATTGCTTGCTGCGAATAGATGCTTTTCAATGGCATAATACAAAGGCCTAGCTATGTACTGATATCTTGACCAGGATGTTATCACCTATGTTGCTGTAAATAATAGTTCATACAACTCTTTGATCAATTCTCCTTGCAGGTTTATTCAGAAAATGCCCCATTGTTATCATAGTCGGCTTGGTGCTGAGTGAAATACTTCAGAATGAATGTATCCTAAATCCTAATAAAATAATGGGTAAAAGACTGTTTACTACCCTCATGTTTCGTGGTTTTCAACATTTAGTACATCAAGTTTTTTTCGTCTCAGATTCATACCTAAAGTGTAAATTTTGAAACAATCTCATATATCCGTTAGTCAAACTGTTAAATCTACCGTTAATTGTGACGTGGCGCCCATGTCGACAATGACTAGGCACCACGTGTCATCCACATTTTTTTTTTCTTGATCACCTACAAGAGTGGGTCGTCAAAAACACAAATAGATTTTCTTCTAATGAGGAAAGGGGATCGTATAACTTGTAAGGATTGCAAAGTTATACCAGGAGAGAGCGTGGCTAATCAACATCGCTTGTTGGTGATGGATGTACATATCAAAAGAGTGAGAAAAAAGAACAAGACTTGGAAGTGCCCAAGGACTAGATGGTGGAATCTAAAAGAAGAAAAACAAGTCATTTTCAAAGAGAAAGTAATCACCCAGTGTGTGTGGGATAGAGAGGGGGAAGCTAACCAAATGTGGGATTCCATGGCTAGTTGTATCCGAAAAGTAGCAAAAGAGGTATTAGGAGAGTCCAAGGGCTTTGCCCCACACCAAAAGGAATCTTGGTGGTGGAATGAGAAGGTACAAACAAAGGTGAAGGCTAAGAAGGAATGTTGTAAAGCCTTATACAAGGATAGGACCGATGAAAATGGTGAAAGGTATAGAAAAACGAAGCAAGAGGCGAAGAAAGCTGTGAGTGAAGCTAAGTTAGCGGCTTATGACGATATGTATAAGCGACTAGATACCAAAGAAGGAGAGTTGGATATCTATAAACTAGCTAGAGCAAGGGAAAAGAAGACAAGGGACCTAAACCAAGTGAGGTGCATCAAGGATGAGGATGGAAAGATTCTTGCTACAAAGAACGCGGTTAAAGACAGATGGAAAGGTTATTTTCATAATCTTTTCAATGAAGGACATGAAAGGAGTGCTTCTTTAGGGGAGTTGAGTAACTCAAAAGAGTGTAGAAACTACTCTTTTTATCGTAGAATCCGGAAGGATTGTAGCTTTGAAGAAGATGAAGCATAGAAAAGCAGTAGGCCCAGACGATATACCAATCGAAGTGTGGAAAGTTTTGGGAGAGACAGGTATAACATGGCTCACTGACCTTTTCAATAGGATTTTGAAAACGAAGAAGATGCCAAATGAGTGGCGAATGAGCACTTTGGTGCCTATCTACAAGAATAAGGGCGATGTACAAAATTGCATGAACTATAGGGGTATTAAGCTAATGAGTCATACAATGAAGCTCTGGGAGAGAGTCATTGAGCATAGATTGAGGCAAGAGACACGGGTTTCGGACAACCAATTCGGGTTCATGCCAGGGCGCTCAACCATGGAGGCAATCTATCTCTTACGAAGATTGATGGAAAGATATAGAAATGGGAAAAAGGATTTACACATGGTCTTTATAGATTTGGAAAAAGCGTATGATAGGGTCCCAAGAGAGACATTCTTTGGAGGATTTTAGAGAAGAAAGGAGTACGAGTAGCATATATCCAAGCTATACAGGATATGTATGAAGGAGCAAAGACTGCCGTAAGAACTCATGAAGGACAAACCGAAAGCTTTCCCATAACTGTAGGATTACATCAAGGCTCATCCTTAAGTCCTTACCTTTTTGCGTTGGTAATGGATGAGTTAACAGGACATATTCAAGATGATATTCCTTGGTGTATGCTTTTCGCAGACGATATAGTGTTGATAGATGAAACTCAGGAAGGGGTAAATGCAAAGCTTAACCTTTGGAGAGAAGTGTTGGAATCTAAAGGTCTTCGCCTAAGCCGATCAAAGACAGAATATATATATATGGAGTGCAAGTTCAGTGCAAATGGAGGCCAAAACGAGTTAGGGGTGAGGATCGGAGATCAAGAAATACCAAAGAGCGACCGTTTTCGTTACCTAGGATCTATCTTGCAAAAGAACGGAGAATTAGATGGAGATCTCAACCATAGAATACAAGCTGGATGGATGAAGTGGAAGAGTGCATCCGGCGTGTTGTGTGACCGCCGTATGCCACTGAAGCTCAAGGGAAAATTTTAATAGGACGGCAATAAGGCCGGCGATGCTGTATGGCACAGAATGTTGGGCGGTGAAGCATCAACACGTACACAAAATGGGTGTAGCGGAGATGAGGATGCTTCGTTGGATGTGTGGGCACACGAGAAAGGATAAGATTAGGAATGAGGATATCCGGGGTAAAGTAGGAGTAGCCGAAATTGAAGGAAAGATGAGAGAAAATCGGTTACGGTGGTTTGGACATGTGCAAAGAAGGCCTACTGACGTTCCGATTAGAAGATGCGACTATGGGACAGAGGTTCAGGGCCGAAGGGGTAGAGGAAGACCTAGGAAAACTTTGGAAGAGACCCTAAGAAAAGACTTAGAGTACTTGGATCTAACGGAGGACATGACACAGGACAGAACACAATGGCGTTCTAAGATTCATATAGCCGATCCCACTCAGTGACTTTGATTTTTCAAGTCTCCAACCGAGAAGTTTTCCTCACTCGGGAAATTAAGGGAACACTACCTCAACCTACATGCTCCACTCACAAAGCTTCAACATACAAGCTTCAACAAAAGAAAATTCAAAGAACTTAGCGAAGAAGGCTTTGGTGTATTTAACACAATACGTTGAAATGAAGGAAAGCTTATTTATTGATATCCCCGATAAGTTACAAATATGTACATATACTTGAGTCAAAATAAACAAACAAGAGGGAGCCTTCACAAAGGTTGCTTAGGAGAAGTCTCAGCAGTCGGTAGAGCCCCAGAAAGAGAAGGCACCAGAGGGGGATCATTTGGAGCCTCAGTACTGGACAAAACCCTAGAAGGAGGAGGCATCAGAGGTTGATCATTTGGAGCTTCATTACGCGGTACAGCCCCAGAAGACGAAGGCAATAAATGCCTTTGGAACAAACCCACAAATCTCTGATGATCAAGTAAAACCTGACCATCAGATTCCTTCATCTGGTCAAGCTTCCTTCTTCATGTTTGTAGCATAGTCATGTGCGAGCCGGTGCAACTGTTTATTCTCATGCTTGAGCCCTCTAATCTCCTGTTTGAGACTCATCACTTCAGCCGCCAATGATTCAACTTGGCGGGTTCGAGCAAATAGGCGTTGGGCCATATTAGACACAGAACCTGCACACTGAACACTGAGAGCCAGAGAATCCTTAACAGCTAACTCATCAGACCGTTTGGAAAGTAGTCTGTTATCTTTGGGAGTGAGAAGGTTCCTGGCCACCACCGCAGCGGTCATATCATTCTTCATCACGGAATCCCCAACGGTAAGAGGACCAGTAGGGGAGACGAAGGATGGGCGCCATATGTTGTCTGGAGAAGGCGGGGCTGCCTCTTCAACAAGGTTCAAGTCAAAACGACGG